CATATACCAAGATGCCTACATTAATAATTAATAAAGAAAAATTTTCGTCAGAAAAAAACTGGCCTCTTCCTGGCCATTTGCGCTTGTTCCACCAATGTTTTAGATGCAATGAAACTCATCCTATTCCATTCTTCATTAGCTATACATTCTCCTATCACAGATATGCCCTATAAAGTAAAAAAGAGTGACCTGTGATGAAAGCATTCAAGTTACAAAACAGAATCAGTTACAAGATAATTCAGCAGGTTACCCACATGCTCTGCGGATCATTTCACAACAAAAGAAAGGCAGGTAATGGTCTGACAGAAATGCGCGTCACAACTTGTCTGCGAGTTTTGTATTTGTAGTAAACGTTCTCACAATGTGCAAATGAAATCTAGCAAAGTGTATATTCACTTAACGTGAGCAAAATGCTAAATGAGTTGTCTTTGAAAAACTAACCTCATTTGCGGCACGAACTAACCCTTCCTTGTTGTAAGTTTTCTCGAAAAATAATAAGTATATAGCTTGTGAGATCAATGTACCTAATCTTCTTGTTAGCTCAAAGCTTGGCACAACCACCTTTGGGGATGGAAAAAGAGAAAGATATCGATTAGGCTGAACCTGAAATAGTTGCAACATGAAAGTTTTGAGCAAATCAGTTAGTGTCACTTACAGCTTCCACATTTGTTATTGCGTGGAAGCGATAAGACTTTAGAAAATTTGCAAGATGACAACTTTACGAGATTGTCTACTGTTGAAAAGCGGAACGTTATTGTTTAAGGGAACATCGGTAACTTACTACTTCTTCAGCGTCCAAGTATGGCTCAGTAGTTGACTGTACAGCTTCTGAAGTGAAAGTAGCGGATGTTACTATAGAACAGCGTGGTACTGCTATAGCGCGCGATTGGCAGGCTATACGTCGCAACATGAGCAAGATCTGTAAAAAACACCAGTGACAGCACACGCCTACCAGAACTTTGCAAGAGAAGCAAAGCTAAAAAACCAAATTCCCAAGAATCTAATCGGGAACACCCTT